CTCAGTTTGCAATTTTTGGATGAGTTAAAGTGATGTGTCCCCCAAGTTTGCACAGGACCTGAAACAACAGCCCACAGCAATGAACTGCCCTTGTTCATCTATACGGAGTGTGAATTCAGATACTCTGTCACTAGGGCATTGTGTACACTGCAGGGTTTTTGCACAAGAAGCTTTTTGCAGAAGAGATCTTGCACAAAAACTTCTTGCGCAAAAGCACGTCCACACCTCAAAAGCACATCACAAAAGTGATGTGCTTTTGCGCAAGAGTGTGTCCACACTGCATGGACACTCTTGTGCAAGATCATTCTGATTGCAACTCACAGAATGGCCATCAGAGCACCTGTGCTTTTTGTGATAGGCTCTTTTTGCACAAGAAACCCCTGTGGAGTGTCCACACACACCTTTTTGTGCAAGAACGCTTGCGCAAAAAGGAGTTATGCCCCATAGAAGGAGATATACCATCACTGCAAAACACCCTCTGTTATCGACTGACTGTAGATTTTCTTGTGCAAAAACGCGCTTGAGGTGTGGACGCTCCATGGGTTTTTGTGCAAAAACCCTGTAGTGCAGACATAGCCTAGCATTTAAAATACCAACACTGGTAACTATTTCACTGCCAGTCAAAGCATTATGTAAGGAGAGAAGCAAGCACGTTACACTTACACAATTTACCATGAGTGACAGCTCGTTTTGGTACCTGGAATGGATAGTGCTTAGGTGAGTATCACCCCTTTCCCCCTTGCTTATCTCTGGAGCCCAAAAGAGCATTTGCGCCCCACCAAGCAGAGCCTCTGAGCATCTGAACTAGGGAAGTAAGTGACGAGACGTATGCTTGTCGGATAGTTAACTAGTGAGTTGACTAGTTGCTTTCTCCCCCCTCCCCACCTTTACTGCCTCTATCAGAAAGCTAGGTCCCCCCCTGCACCATCTCCATGGGGAAGAGGGCGGAGCGGGGAACTGGTGGCACTCCTTGCTTTTGAAATGTACAAGGCCACAAACCTCCATTTATTCTCAGAACAAGTCTAGCACGGACAACACCACAGTATGGTTCCCTCACGTGACCTCTTCCCCCATGTGGACCTCCATCCCGTGTAGGATGGAGTGCCTGTGCTATGCTTTGTCCTGTCATGGATGAGGTGATCCAGGAGGCTGTTTACAGCAAATGCATTATTATTCAAAGAATAACATGCACAAGTTCTCTCAGTAATTAGCAATCCCGTATGCTGGGTGCTGTGAATACTCACTGGTTTAACCGAAGGGCTTTGACAGCTCGGCTCTCTGGAAACCCCATTTCTGTAAGCTGTCGCAGGGCTATTTCATCCACTCGGTCTTCCTCGTCCTCATCCAACATAGCTACAAAAAACAGATTCACATTATGACTTCAAGCCAACGTCTATCCCTGCTCCATCTGGGAAAATATCTGGTAAGCTGGAATCCTTCAGTCTTCCCTTTCTAATCCTAGCAAATGAGAAGGTGAGAGAAAAACCTATTAAGTCTTCTAGTTCAACCCCCTTAGCTCAGCTAATGCTGGACTGTGCCCTGAACTTTGTCAAGAACAGTGTTCTATGTCTCACACGAAGGGGAGTGGGTTTCCTCCCTGCCTCCAGCATTCTACTCCACTCTGGACTGAGCTTTCAAGCCTTTAGAATGAGCAGTCTTCATGCTCACAAGCAGAGCTACTGACTTCTATGAGACTATGTAAAGAATTATTTGACAAAACATGCAGAGGGATCAGGCCCCAATAAATCCCAGTGTCAGGAAGCTCTCTCATTATATTCAGCCTAAATTTTCCCTTTTCTCCATTTAATCCTAATTCGAACGATAGGTCTATGCTAAAAAAAAAAATGCGCCTTCTTAAAATTTGGGTTAAATTACCTAAATTGCTATGACTTCAGGGCTATCAGTTTGAGTTCAACTCTATAGACTTTACCTCTAGCTGCTAACCCAAGTTAAAAGACGAGTCGCTGAATCTTCACTGCTATTTAGCCCCCATAAATTAACACAGGTCAGCTAACTAAAATTAAGACTATACTTTTGTTTTTTGCACAGTAGAAATTCCCTTTGTGCCCTTGTACTAACCCATTCCTCATCACCCCCAAGAGCTGAAGTTTGAGTGAAGTTTTCCAGTAGTTACACTGAGAATAATTTTACATTGGGACCTCTCATCCTAAAGTGACTTACCAATGAAAACCAAAACACCAGGAATGAAATCCTGCCCGATTCAATTCAATGAGAATTCTGCTATTAATTTTAGTGGGATCTAGATTTCAGCCCAGAATGCTTCCCCTGACACTACACACACCAGGAGCAGAACTTAACATTTTTTTTCCATTGCAGCACTACGCACTCTATGACAGATATTAGACTCAACTGAAACCAAACAGAGTGTTAAAAAGGCTAAATATTATTTAAGTTGGAATCTGGCAAGACATCAAAGGCTATGACCCTGGCTCGTGTGAAAAATGCCAGAAGATCTCTAGTAACCATGAGGTGTCAAGATCTTGGTTATGGTTTTGTCTCATTGAAAAGATGCCACATCCTGCTGCTCTGTGCCTCCTGGAGTATAAGTAAGGCCCTACCAAATTCACGGTCTATTTTGTTCAATTCCATGGTCATAGAGTTTTAAAAACTGTAAATTTCAGTTTCAGATATTTAAATCTGAAATGTCAGTGTTGTAACCAAGGGCCACAGACGGCTCAGGTGGCGCTTGCCTGGTGACAGCATTGCCTTCGGAGTTGAGCTTCCAGCTAGTAGCCATGAAGTTTACCCGCAGCTGGGAGATATTCCCACAGATGGGTCTGACCCGGTCTTGTGGACAACCCATGCAGCGGAAGAGAAATCTCATCTGTCCCCAGCATCTGGAGGGAACCCCTGTCCCTACACTAGCCAGATTTTATGACAGAGATCAGATTTCAGTCCATGATTTGTTTTTCACAGTCATGAAGCTGGTAGGGTCCCAAATATAGGACCAGCATATTTTTAAAAATAAGCCATCAAACTGCAACTGCTGAGTGAGAGGGAAGAGTGTTACCTACTGAACTTTCAACACCGCTTCCTTCCTCTGCAAGTGGTATTCCTCAGAAGAGTCCCACTGATGTCTGGACCTATCCCCACCCTCTGCGTAGGGAGCTATGAAGGTTGTTATGGCCGCCTACAGGCCTTTTGTAATAGGATGAATCAATATTTTGGGTATTTCTTGACAAGGCTAATCGAATCCTGGCTCCACAAAACACATTTAAGGATACGTGCTTACCATTTGCCTTCTTAAATAGTTCAACTGCATCTGGGTTCAGTGCAAGCAATTTCTGCGCAACTTCAATAAGTGAAACTAAGATCTTCCGGAGTTCTGTCTGGAACTGCAAGAAAAGAAACTGTCAAAACACTTAGATGGAAAGCTACCAAGAGCTATCATCACTTAACCCATCTCTTGTTAGAGTCTGTGCACTATGCCCTTGCCAGAAAGTTGCTTTATTATGGCTTTGCTTTCACTGTGTTTAGCATATCAAAAATAAGTTAGAGTGTTTCCCGTGGAGTGCTATATAGCACAAGAATTGCCATGCAGGAAGGGTTGTTTATTTCTTCCATTGCTTTTGGTCCCATAATGAACTAGCTGAGAAAGCTTATTTCTTAATGGAAACAGGGGCCCAAAATCTCTGGTGAGATGCTGTCAATTTGCTTTCAGGACTGGGGACCTGTTTCTACAAAGGGATGAGCCTTCTTGGCTAGTGGCATTTTCTCAGCTTCTTCTGAGACTTGCCATTCCAGTATGTCATGGCTATCCTTCCTTCACCTAGAAACATGTTTAACATATCCCATATACAACAGGGCAAGCCGCTAACTAAACTGGTCCAATTTTTCCACGCTTCACTTAAGTGCTAGAGACGTGTATGATTTTTAAAGAAAAAAATTCACTATTTTGTTTATTATTTAACAGCACGTACTATGCACATAGGGCTTTGTTACTTCATGCACAAGAGAGTATCAAACCTAAAGAAGCAACTCTCACTGTGTTTTCTGAACACACATTTTACACATACTCACAAAGTCCTTCAGCATTCTGAAAGCTGCGCAGTGCTAGGGCATTTTTTAATTTTTAAAACAGAGATAAGAGGGAAACTAAAGTGTCTCAAACTCCATGTATAATAAAAAAATTTAAGCAAAAAAGAATGCAGTCACACTTTATGCTAAGGTTCCCTATATGAATAGCATATAAAGAGTTAATAAACGATCAATAGATTAATAAGTATGTTAGATATTATAAGCATATCATCATGAGTCATTACAGATGGCAACCCACTGACCCATCAGATTAACCTCTGATTAACTCATTTATTAAAATGTCTATTAATTATTCCTTTATAAACAGAAACTTAATATCAAGTGTAACCCAGAATGCAGTAGAAACTTGGAATTAAAAAGAGCTTCCTTTCTGCAGGGAATACAGTTTATAATCACATTGGTCTTTTAGTTAAGATCTTTATTAAGTAGCCACTAAGACAAAAATCAGTACTTTAAAAAAAAATTCCTTTGGGAAAAACATGGAACAAGATAAGTAAATATTTTGTACAGGCACAGGACAGTTTCACTATAATTGCCATGTATGAGAGAATACCCTAAAACAAGGGAACAAAGATCACACTTCTCTTCAAAAGCAAAACTAAAAACAAAAACATTCCCAGACATGATTTCCAACCAAACTTTGCAATGCTGTGCTTGAACATTAGAACCAGGAAGTGACTAAGTTTTTATCAGTCAGTGAGAAGTGCAAGTAGTAAAACATAGCATGAACAGGGAAAACCTTAATTTGACTCTTAAAGTTCAGTTTTAAATTGCCTATGATGCTGGTATATTAGGTACGTTTCTTCCCCAATGTATTACTTTGGACCTGAAATATGGACCATATATTTTCACTTCTTTCAAAAGAAGTAAGCAATAGGCTCAAGTTTCAGTGAAGTCTTCAAGACTAGATGAACTACTTTTGGATGTCACAGAGAAGGGTTAAATCAAGGAGGAAATCTAGATTCAGCATATAAACAAAGTAGATAAAAGGCATCATACTGTAAAACTCCAATTGTCCGGCATCCAGTGGTCCGGCACCAACTGGAACCCAGAAGTGCTCCGGCCAGCTGGACAATTGGAGCTGCTCTGCCCCCGGCTTCCTCAAGTCCACTGCTGCTGAAACTGACCAGTGGCAGACTTGGGGAAGTCGGGGGCAGAGCAGCTGGGGTACTGCCGGGTTGGTCCTGCAGCACCGCCCACTCCCACACTGCACAGTTACCCGCCGACCTCTCCCTCCCTCTCCAGACCCCTCATAGTCCCCCTTCCGGTACTCCGGCAGTCCTAAAGGTGTAGTCCTTTAGTCCCCCGGGTCCTAAAGGTGCCAGATCTCCCTCCCTCCCCAGACCCCTCATAGTCCCCCTTCCGGTACTCCGGCAGTCCTAAAGGTGTAGTCCTTTAGTCCCCCGGGTCCTAAAGGTGCCAGATTATCGGAAATTTACTGTACTTACATCTCTCATGTTGTGGTGGGCCACAGTGCGATCTGCATTGCGAGAGGGCAGATTCGCTGTAGCTTTGAGAATAGCATCCTTATCTGGAGCTTTCTGTTCTTGCTTCCTCTAAACAAGAAAAGAAAACATGCTCAGATTTTGTGATTTATCATCCACTGAACTACAGTAATAAAAATGCTATAGCTGACATTCTCCACAGGCCCATATAGTGTTTTTCATTTAAATATCCCCATTTTACAGATGGGGAAACTGAGGCACAAAGAGGAGGAACTGACTTGTCAAAGGTAACAGAATCCAGAAATCTCAGAAATCTCCATTCCCTGGCCTGTGCTCTAATCACTATGATGTGTTCCTTCCCTGTAGAGAAATCCTCAAATGTGTCTGTGTTCTATTCAGAATTAGTGGGGAGATGTGTGAACACTTCAGATGCTATTTAATACTGAACCCTCCAAGACAAACACACAGAGGCCGTAATGAGAGGAAGACAGTGTGACACGCAGCACAGCAAGATCCCAGAGAAACAGTGCACAGGTAAATACAGATACCTGCAGGAAGCAAATCATAGAAGAGAAAAAGCAGGTTTGCAGCACATACAAGCAGAGACCTCCAGCAATTCACAAGGACAAGCAGAGGCATAGCTCAGTGCATTTGCAAATGACGGGCAGGTACAGCACTACCACGGCCACCTTTTGGAGAATGCTGACCCCCTGAAATAACAGTTACACCCAGAATGGGGGGAAAGCAACCCACGTTATCTAGCTGAGGATACAGTTAAGGGCCTAACAAGGCCAATGCTTGTGCCCCAGGATGAATCTACACTGGAGCTGGGAGCCAGACCCCCAGCTCAGTCAGACTTGTGTTAGCAGTTCTTGCTCTAAGGCATTAAAAATAGCTGTGTGCATGTTGCAGAACTGAGGGTTCAAGTTAGCCAGCCCCACCTCATGGACCTGAGCTCCCTGCTGGTGCTGCAGTGTCCCCACCCCTAACACAAGTCTGCTTGCTCGAGCTGGGGGGGCTAGTTTGGTCATGCTAGCACAGGTCAGCCTAGCAAGTCTCTCTACCCAGTCTGGGCAGCTTGCTCCCAGCGCCAGTGTAGACATGGTTAGAAGGCCCAAGTCGAGATGCAGCTAAAGACAGAAATCAGAGCCGTTAGACACAGCTTTCTAAAGGGCACATTACGTGAAGGTGCAACAGGGCACAACCTCTAATGATTTATTCTATTATTGAACATTCAAAGATCAGCCTCACAGCATTTCCACAGAGTGCATCTATCCTGTTTGAGGCAAACATTATTGTTAATTTACAGATTCTCTGGCAAGTTTCAAAGGAATGTGAATCCTTCTGAAATTCATTTATTTCATCTTTAATTAAATGGATGCATTTGCCTCCATACATAAATATGGAACACCCACAGCTTTGCTTCTCCAAGTTGTTAATACAGAGAGGGAAAATGCAGCCTAGAAAAAGCACCCACAAAGTGTCTGAACTCACTTTTTCCTCTGCTGACACGTCTGCCATTTTAGGAGGGGGAGGGGGAGCTCGCTTCTTTACCAACAGCAAGACATCTAAAAAGAGAAGATTCTGGAATATGTTAGAAGTAACATGCAATGGACTGTCAGGCAGATTAGAAGCCAACATACACAAATGGCAAAATAAAGGCTGTTCACCATTCTGGGGGTGACTGTTCCTGTATTCCCCCTGCACAGTCCCTTGAGAACACCCGGTGAGAGTGTTTCCAGTTCCCAGACACAGCTCTCTTGACTAGAGATCCGTGTTTCGATTCTTCCCAACTGGGGTTTTAAGATTGCAAAGGCCCCCCCACTCCATTCACTATGATATCCCCCAGCAAGCCAATGCCAACAACCCCTATGCATTGCTTTTTTCCCCCAGAGATTTATGAACAGCATGAAGTCAGTAATTACTAGTTCCTGCTCATCTCTTAGGGTACGTCTACACTACAGCGTTATTTCGAAATATCTAATTTCGAAATAGTTATTTCAAAATAACTCGTCTACACACAAAATGCATTTCGAAATAGCGCGTCCACACTGATTGGACACTGAATCGCATTTAAAGCCAGATGAAACCAGTTCCAGCAGGACATCAGGTCAGGAGTTACTTTGTGTGGCTGCTGCCTGAGGCTATCTGAGGCCTGTGCTTAAAGGGACCCCCCTGAACAGCCGGTTCTCAGGTCTTGCCTACCTCGCTGAGGGACAGCAAAGCATTTTTTTCTCTGCGTACTCTGGTTGCCCTTACTCGGGACACCACAGCACTCTGCACCGTGGAGCCAGAGCTGCTCCTGGGCACTCTAGTGCTTCTCTTGGATGTGTTGCTGCAAGCCTGGCTGCGCTTTCTGCAGCCCGCCTCGCAGCATTTGTTGCAGCCCAACCCCCATGCCATCATTTGGATCTTCCTGGGGTACGTGGAGGAGCAGCTGCAGCTCCTGGATGCCAGCATGCCCCACCGCATCTGGACACCAGCAGCAACTGGTGGGACCACATCATCCTGGAGCGCTGGGGAGACCAATAATGGACCCAGAACTTCAGGATGAAGGAGGACACCTTCCTCGAGCTCTGTGAGTGGCTCGCCCCTACTCTGCAGCGATGAGACATGCACGTGAGGCCCGCCATTCCCCTCCAGAAGCGTGTGGCCATCACCCTCTGGAAGCTCTCTATGCCGGATAGCTACCGATCTGTGGGGAACCAGTTCGGCGTCTCGCCCGTGGCAAGTAGATTTGTGCTCATGCACAGGGCTCGACAAACTATACAATCTACTCGCCCGTGGCAAGTAGATTTCAGCTGCTCGTCCCGTTCATTTGCGGCTCTTCCGCATGCGCAGTACGGGGCTGGTGAGAAGTTTTCGCTGCCGTTTGTCAAGCCCTGCTCATGCCGGTATGGCAATCTCCGGCCACTGTGCCAGGAGGGGGGAGGGGTGCAAGGAGGGGATGGGCTGCCCTAGGGGAAAGGGGGGGAGGTGGTGCAAGTCCCCCTCCCCAGGAGGGTTTGTTCTGTCCCAGCCGCACTACGAACTGCCCGCGGTAGCTAGGATTGCAGGGGGGTTGCTCCTGCGGTGTGGGGGGCGCGGGGCAGTGGCGGGGAAGGAGCACTCTCAGCCACCCTGGCACCCCAATGACGCTCAGTTTTGTGTGTCCTTCTGCAGGTGGTCAAGGCCATCAATAGAGTGCTGCTCTGCAGAGTCATCCACCTCACTGATGTGGACACGGTGATGGAGGTGTTTGGCGCCCTGGGCTTCCCCAACTGCGGGGGGAGGGGCAATCAACAGGACACACATCCCCATCCGTGCCCCGGAACACCAGGACTCCCTGTACATAAAGCGGAAGGGATATTTCTCCATCATCCTACAGGCTGTGTCTGACCACCAGGGCCACTTCGTGGACATTAACGTGAGCCGCTCTGGCAAAGCACACGACGCATAGGTTTACCGCAACTCCTCTGTGCGCCAAAGGATGCACACCGGGACTTTCTTCCCCAACTGCCACATCAGGGTCGGGGACGTGGACATACCCGTGTGCCTGGTGGGGGGTGCAGCCTATCCCCTACAATCCTGGCTCACAAAGCCCTACACGGGACACCTCACCCCTCCCTACAGGCCTTTAATGCCAAGCTCGGCAGGGCCCGCATCATGGTGGAGAGGGCATTTGGCTGGCTGAAGGCCCGTTTTAAATGCCTCCTCACCCGCCTGGACCTCTCCAAGCGGAATATTCTGCACGTGGAGGCAGTGTGTTGTGTGCTGCACAATTTGTGTGAGCGGAAGGGAGAGGCTTTCCTGCCAGGCTGGATGGCAGAGGCCGACCACTTGGCTGGCCTGTACATGCAGCACCGCACGGCTGCTATCTGGGGG